ACACACGCCACTCTGGAGTGCTAGACGAGAACTCTTGCCCAATCCGTATTTAACCATCCGAAACATCGGCAAAACAACTAGCGATGTACTCCTCCTCTCAGTTACAACACATGGTCAAGTTTTCGTGGTGGATGTTGTAATCTTGGAGGGTGCGCTAATCTCCAGGCTGCATTCCTGCGAAATAAGCCGCTGTTGGTTACGAGGAATGGCTTGCCGATCATGAAAGGACATCTTTACACCATTGATAGTGCTCGTGGAACTGAAATCAATTTGCCCGTTAGCGTTTTGACATAGATAAGACCGCCAGCATCTAGTAGTCTCCTCCGTTGTCTACGCTGCCTCAGTGACCTAGTCAATCTGGCCAGCCAATAAGCCTCTTTTAGTAGCACTAGACATCTGTCTTGTCGTTGCTATCAATCGCGGGCAACACCAAAAAGACAGGGAATGATGATTTCCACAGGACGGTACGCGTCCAAACAAACCCCGTACAAAGTGGAAAAAAATCCATTTTGCGATGGCAAGCACGCCTACAGACAGTCACCCCCTGTAGTCATTATCGAGCATACTTGTTTGGTGATGACCCCGATAAGATCTGCTACTGGGGTGTCCTGTGGCCGCCGTCCACCGAAGGCAGATCGGAGCATAGGATTTCGATCACGCTTTATATGACAGTTCAATATGGTCCCAATAGCCAGTACTTTGGGCAGCGGGTCGAATCGTGCCATTGATCCGTATACCTCGTCGCAATCCACCCCGAACTCTTAGTGGCTACCTTGCGCAACAAGGAGCGCTTTGAACGTTCGACAGACCCGTCGCCGTTATACCAACCAGTACCCAATGACAGGACAAAGCCTTCCGCCCAGATGGCAGTGGTACGAGCCTCCACGTGCCATTCTCAATCAAGAAGTCGTACTCTAGGCAACGTGCTTACTTTGGATGTGTCCCATACACCACCTCATATGGTTTCTTATTTCATTTACGGGCCATAGGTGTACGGTTTTGTACATAGGTCATGTTCACGAGCGCTTCAGGCCACAACCTGTGCTCCATATCAGCATCCTTCAGGGCGCAGTGAACTCTATCCCGTTTGCTCTGATCATCGCGCTCTGCAGCCCTGTTTTCTTCTGGACTGTAGGCGTTTGATGTCTGAAAGATAATGCCCTTGCTCTAACAGAGGTTCTTGAACGCAGCGCTCTCATATTCAGTGCCTCCGTCAGACCGGATTCGATGGATCGTGGACTTTTCTTCACGTTCTAACTGTAGTACTAGCTCCTCTACCTTCTCAAAGACTTCCTTCTTGCTGCGCAGG